TTTTTTAAAAATATAAGTTTTGGCTAAGGGAGGACAAGTTTTTCCATCAAGAATTTTCCCTGAAGAAAATTCTCACTCTTTTTCAAAAAAAGAATAAAGAAAAGAAAAGAAAAAAAAAAGAAAAAAAGAAAAAGTCAACCTAATGAGCTAACTTACTTCGCCCTTTAAAAAATGGAGGAATAAAAAAGTATATAAAATAAACTTCAAAAACCATGTTACTCTCCATATAGATCAACTGACCTCTCAAATTATTTCACTTATATTGACATAGGAAAAATTCACCACTTTTATTGTCACCCCCCCAACCCCCCCAACCATTATTTGGTTGCCTGTTTCCTACATCAAACACTAGGACTCATTAATCACACATCCAACCTTTACATGGGCAATTTTGTTACAGTCCTGTGGTTTCCAACTCATTTGTGAATCAAAATGTTCTTCCCCAGGAGCATTAAATCACAGGCAGTTTGGGCTCAAATTGTCTTTATCCTTTTAACATGAATTAATGAGTTTCCTGGAAAGGTTAAGGAAATTGAAATTCAAGATAATGGTTGCCATTCGCATCCTTAATTGACACAGCTAGTTAAGGGGGAAAGGGTGACTTCCACAGGAGGTCAGTGCTCAGTAGTTAATTCTGGACTGCAAAGTACTAGTGTCATTTGTTTACATTTTGATTATTAACTAGGGATTCTCCCTCCTCTCTAAGTAAAATAATCTTTTATATTATTGTTTAGTTTTCATTTTTTTAATTAAAATTTTTTTTAACTTTTTTGGGGGAGGAGGTAATTAGATTTATTTATTAATTTATTTTAACAGAGGTACTAGGAATTGAACCCAGGACCTCGCATATGCTAGGCACACGCTCTCCCCCTGAGCTATACCTTCCCCACCTAGTTTTCGTTCTTTTTTTTTAAATTTTTTTAATTGAGTTATAGTCATTTTACAACGTTGTGTCAAATTCCAGTGTAGAGCACAATTTTTCAGTCATACATGAACACACACGTATTCACTGTCACATTTTTTTTGCTGTGAACTACCACAAGATCTTGTATATACTTCCCTGTGCTATACAGTATAATCATGTTTAACTATTCTGCATATGCCTATCAGTATCTACAAA